TACATTATCCACCAACGAACAAATACACTTTCTTCTCAGCAGCACATGGATCCTTCTCTAAAATAGACCACATGTTATGCCACAAAGCAAATCTTAGTAAATACAGAAAAGTAGAGATACCACCCTGCATTCTATCAGACCACAATGGAATAAAATTAGAAATCAATGATAAAATAAAAAATAAAAGCTTTTCCAACACCTGGAGACTAAATAATACACTACTGAATGAACAATGAGTTGCAAAAGATATCAAGGAAGAGATTAAAAAATTCTTAGAAGGGCTGGGGATGTGGCTCAAGTGGTAGCGCGCTCGCCTGGCATGTGTGCGGCCCGGGTTCGATCCTCAGCACCACATACAAACAAAGATGTTGTGTCCACTGAAAACTAAAAAATAAAAAATAAAATTAAAAAAAAAATTCTTAGAAGTAAATGAGAACATCGATACAACATCAAAATCTCTGGGATACTATGAAGGCAGTTCTAAAGTTCATTGCATGGAGTTCATTCCTTCAAAAAAGAAAAAGTCAATAAATAAATGACCTAACATTACATCTCAAAACCCTAGAAAGAGAAGAACAAATCAACCCCAAAAGCAGTAAAAGACAGGAAACAATTAAAATTAGAGCTGATATCGATGAAATTGAACCAAAAGAAACAATTGAAAAATTTGACAAAACAAAAAGTTGGTTCTTTGAAAAAACAAATAAAATTGATAAACCATTAGCCATGCTAATAAAGAGAAAGAGAGAGAAAACTCAAATTACTAACATGAGTGATAAAAATGAAAATATTACAATGGACACTACAGAAATATAAATGATAATTACAAATTATTTTGAAAATTTGTATTCCAATAAAATAAAAAATATCAAAGACATCGACAAATTTCTAGAGGCATATGATATGCCCAAACTAAATCAGGATAATATACACAATTTAAACAGATCAATTTCAAGCAAGGAAATAGAAGACATCATCAGAAATCTACCAACCAAGAAAAGCCCAGGACCAGATGGATATACAACTGAGTTCTACAAGACCTTCAAAGAAGAACTAACACCAATACTTCTCAAACTATTTCATGAAATAGATAAAGAGGGAACATGTCCAAACACATTCTATGAGGTCAATATCACCCTGATTCCAAAACAAAAGACACTTCAAAGAAAGAAAACTTCAGACCAATATCTCTAATAGATGCAAAAATTCTAGCAAATCAAATACAAAAAAATATCAAAAAGATAGTACATCATGATCAAGTAGGGTTCATTCCAGGAATGCAAGGTTGGTTCAACATATGGAAATCAAAAATGTAATTCATCACATCAATAAACTCAGAGATAAAAATTATATGATCATCTCAATAGGTGCAGAGAAAGCATTTGATAAAATACAGCACCCCTTCATGTTCCAAACACTTGAAAAACTAGGGATAACAGGAACATATCTCAACATGTAAAGGCTATCTATGCTAAGCCCCAGGCCAACATCATTCTAAAAGCAGAAAAATTGAAAGCATTCCCTCTAAAAACTGGAACAAGATGGATGCCCTCTGTCACCACTTCTATTTAACAGAGTAATCAGACAGATGAAAGAAATTAAAGGGATACGGATAGGAAAATAAGAACTCAAATTAACATTATTTGCAGACGATATGATTCTATACCTAGAAGACCCAAAACATTCCACCAGAAATCTCCTAGAACTAATAAATGAATTCAGCAAAGTAGTTGGATATAAAATCAACACCCATAAATCAAAGGCATTTCTGTACATCAGTGACAAATCCACTGAAAGCGAAACTAGAAACCAGGAAAACCACCCCATTTACAATAGCCTCAAAAAAAAAAAAAAAAAAAAAACCACTTGGGAATAAATTTAACAAAAGAGGTGAAAGACCTCTAAATGAAAACTACAACACACTAAAGAAAGAAATTAAAGAAGACCTTAGAATATGAAATTGTTTACCTTGTTCTTGGGTAGGCAGAATTAATACTGTCAAAATGACTATACTACCAAAAGCACTATACAGATTCAATGCAATCCCAATCAAACTCTCAGTGTCATTCTTTATACAAATGGAGAAAGCAATCATGAAATTCATCTGGAAAAATAAGAGACCCAGAATAGCCAAAGCAATCCTTAGCAAGAAGAATGAAGCTGGTGGCATTACTATTCCAGACCTAAAACTATACTACAGAGCAACCATAACTAAAACAGCATGGTACTAGCACCAAAATACACCTGTAGACCATTGGTACAGAATAGAGGACACAGAGTCTAACCCACATAACTTCAGTTATATTAGACAAAGGCACCAAAAACACACATTGGAGAAAAGATAGCCTCTTCAACAAATGGTGCTGGGAAAACATAAATCCATATGTAACAAAATGAAATTAAACCTCTACCTCTCACCATGCACAAAACTCAACTCAAAGTCAATCAAGGACCTAAGAATTAAACCAGAGACCTTGCACCTAATGGAAGAAAAAGTAGGTCCAAATCTCCATCATGTTTCAGGCCCCAACTTTCTTCATAAAACTCCTATAGCACAAGATTAAAACCAATTGGGATGGGGGGTTCTTCTCAGCAAAAGAAACAATCAGTGAGGTGAATAGAGAACCTACAGAATGGGAGCAAATCTTTGCCACATGCACATCAGATAGAGCACTAATCTCTAAGATATATAAAGTACTCAAAAACCTTAACACCAAAAAAACAAATAACCCAATCAATAAATGGGCCAAGGAAAAATTTCTAAGAGGATATATAATCAATCAACAAACATATGAAAAATTGTTCAACATCTCTAGCAATTAGAGAAATACAAATCAAAACTACTCTAAGATTTCATCTCACTCTAGTCAGAATGGCAGCTATTATGAAAACAAACAACAGGGCTGGGGTGGTGGCTCAGTGGTAGAGCACTTGCCTATGTGTGAGGCACAGGGTTCGATCCTCAGCAACACGTATCAATAAATAAAATAAAGATCCATTGACAACTAAAAAAATTTTTTAAAAAAAGAATATAAACAACAATAAGTGTTGGCGAGGATATGGAGAAAAAAAGGCACACTCATATATTCCTGGAGGAACTGCAAAATTGGTACAGCCAATCTGGAAAGCAGTATGGAGATTCCTTGGAAAACTGGGAATGGAACCACCATTTGACCCAGTTACCCCACTCCTGGGTATATACCCAAAGGACTTAAAAACAGCATACTACAGGGACACAGCCATATCAATGTTTATAGCAGCACAATTCACAATAGCTAAATTATGGAACCAACCTAGACACTCTTCAATAAATGAATGGATAGGGAAATGAATAGGTACATAATGGAACATTACTCAGCATTAAAAGAGAATAAAATCATGCCATTTGCAGGTAAATGGATGTAGTTGGAGAATGCAATGCTAAGTGAAGCAAGCCAATCCTAAAAAAACAAAAGCTGAATGTTTTCTTTGATACGAGGATGCAGACACATAATGGCGATTGGTGGGGAGCATCGGAGGAATGGAGGAATTTTAGATAGGGCAAAGGGGAGGGAGGGGAAAGGAGGGGGCAAAGGGGTAGGAATGATGGTGAAATGAGCTAGACATCATTACCCTAAGTACATAAATAAGACACAAATGTTGTGAAAATATTCTGTGTACAATCAGTGTCTTGAAAAATTTGCATTCTGCCAACATGTATAACAAATCAGAAGAAAGGAAGGAAGGAAGGAAGGAAGGAAGGAAGGAAAGAAGTTTCATTATTTAAAAAAAATAATAAAATAAGGAGCCAGTTGCAGTGGCATACACCTGTATTCCCAGCAACTTGGAGGCTGAGGTAAGAGAATCACAAGTTTGCGGCCAGCTTCAGTAATTTATTAAGGCCCTATGCAACTTAGCAAAAACCTGTCTCAAATAAAAAATAGAAAAAAAGGGGCTGGAGACTAAAGTGCCCTGGGCTTAATCCCCAGTATCACAAAAGTGGAGTTTCCAGCTTACGTGACATATAATGAATGGTTAGCCATGTCAATTTATTTTTATTTTTTATTTTTTGGCTAAATTTTTAACTTCAAATCCAATATATCAATTTTTGTTCTTTTATAGTTTGTGTTTTTTCCTAGAAATCTTTGCATATGCCAATGTCAAAAATATATTCACCTATTTGTTTCTAGATTTATAATTTTTCTTTCTTTCTTTCTTTCTTTTTTGATTGAACTCAGGGACAATTGACCACTGAGCCACATACTCAGCCCTATTTTATTTATAGACAGGGTCTCACTGAGTTGCTTAGCACCTCAGCTTCGCTGAGGTTGGCTATGAACTCAAGATCCTCCTACCTCAGCCTCTCAAGCCGCTGGGATTACAGGCATGTGCCACCACACTGGCTAGGTTTATAATTTTAATAAGAAATGCAATCATTCTTTTTAACTGCTACATTCCTCTCATCATATCTATTTCTAACTCTGAAATAACAGGACTGATAATTTGTCCTATTAGTTTATAAATTTTAGAATTACACACCAAGTCAGTATATAAACACCAAGTCATTATACATATACAAAACTATGCTCTGTAGTGGATTTAAAAAACCTAACACAACATTGTGCTGATCTGTGGTCTTTTTGGAGAAGCCTTATGGTATTATCTTTATTAGTAAGAAAAGAGCAAATATACTTTTTAAAAAAAATTTTGTAATTGTAGATGGACAGAAAGCCTTTGTTTATTTTTATATGGTACTAAGGATCAAATGAACCCAGTGCCTCACAGATGCTAGGCAAGTGCTCTGCCACTGGGCTACAGCTCCAGCCTTGATATAATGTACTTTTTAAAAGTCAAACTACAAAAGATGTTCCATTTGCGATATCTCAGAAATTATTTACTGAATGAGTAAATAATGAATTGATACTCAATTTCTCTTTCACATATCAAATAACTCTATAGAGAGACTCTTACAAGATTTACAAGTCTTTAATTTACAAGTATAAACTAAAGAACTGACACACCTGGATTTCTTCACGTTCCTTTTTATCTGGAAAAGTTCTTGCAGCTGTAGTATACTTTTCAAAAACTTTACGCTCCTTTTGTAGTTTCCTCATTTCCTCCTTTTTAAACTCTTCTATTCGAGCCAATTCTTTTGCTTTCTGTTGCTCAAAGTCTGCAATTTCTTTCCTAAAATGACCAAACCATGTTATCATCTCAGAGGACCATCACAATACAGTAATTCACATCTAGCACCAAATGCAACCTGGTGCCAACCTAGGAAGTGCTGGTTCTAACGAGTCCATCTTCAATGCATAGGCCTGAAATATCAGCCAATTCACTCACTCAACCATTTATCCAACAAGCTTCACTGGGTGCTCACTATGAGTCACATATTCTACTAAGAAGTGGGAAACCAGAGTGAAAATAATAAAAATCCTTAAGTTTCTTACATTCTAATGGAAACACAGAAAATAACAAGATAAATCAAGTATTGGAAGAATTAAGGGGAAAAAAATAAAGAGGTCAGGAAATATGAGGAGAGAAGTTGATATTTTGGATGGGAGCACATCTTGTTGCAAAAATATATGAAGTAAAACCTAAAGAAGTGAGAGAACAAGCTATGAGGATATCTGAACAGAACAGTATAGGGAGTGGGAGGAAATATCATGGGCTTAATTTTTTTAAATTTTTTTTAGATGTTGATGAACCTTTATTTTATTCATTTATTTACATGCAGTGCTGAGGATCAAACCCAGTGTCTCACACATGCTAGGCAATCACTCTACCTCTGAGTTACAACCCCAGCCCTGGCTTATTTTTTATAAATGATCAATCTGACATACTTCCACCTCTCCCAGTAGAGAAATTTGACTAGACAAGAGAATATGAGATATAGGTTACAGATCTCAGTTGAGACATGGTTGGATCAGATGATATTTAAAGCCTGAGGACTAGATGAACACAATAGAAGAGTAGAGAGAAAAGATAAAAAGATATTCACATTTGGCTGGGAGTGAAGCTTAGCAGTATATACTTAGCACCAATTCCCAGCACACACACACACACACACACACACACAAAAAAAAAAATTACATTTGACTGAATGTTCAGAATTTCTACAACATACAGAGGCAAAAATTAAGGGAAGACAAAAAAAACAAAGGACAAATGTTTTCTCTGATATGTGATGCTAAATCACACTGGGGGCAGAGGCTAGAGAAGAATAGTTACTTTAGATTAGGTAGAGGGGAATGAAGGGAGAGGAGGAGGTAGGGGGATAGGAAGAATAGTAGAATGAATCAGACAGCATTACCCTACAATGTATATGACTGCATGACCAGAGTGATTCTACATCATGTACAACCAGAAAAATAAGAAATTATACTCCAGTTATAATATGATGTATCAAAGTGTATAAATGCATTCTACTGTCATGTATAACTAATTAGAACAAATAAAAAATAATAAAAAATTAAAGAATACTTGCAGCACATTTGACAAACTTTAACATATTTATTAGATTTATATAAAACTTCCTACAATCAGTACAACAAAACTCCCACTAGAAAAATAAGCAAAGGTTACAAAGAAATTGACAAAATACAACACAAATGACCATAAATAGGAAGGGTAACTGATGTGATACAGCAATTTGTATACGGGGTAAAAGCGGGAGTTCATAATCCACTTGAATCAAACCGTGTAATATGATGTATTAAGAACTATGTAATGTTATGAACGACCAATAAAAAAAAAAATGACCATAAATATTAAAATATGCTCAAAACTGTCAATAACCAGAGAAATGCAAATTTCAACAGATGAAAGATGATATAATTATGAGGTTGGGAAGATTTTTAAAAGACTGCTGAATACTCAACTATGGTGATGAGGAAAGAGGCCAAGAAGGAGCCTCAGATATAGATTAGGGAAGAGGAAGTTTTTGAAATTCATCATGAGAAAGAATATTCTTTATTTATTATTAATTTTTATCCAAAGTAGTAGGTAATTTATAATTGTTAAGACTGTAAACAAGTTAATTTCCACACAGATTGGTTGAATAAGTTATAGTGGCACCCATACAACAGTCATTTCAAGGATGCAAAAGATTAAACTAATGTGGTAAGAAGTCTATTATGGCTGGGTGTGGTGGCATACACCTATGATCCCAGCAGCTCAGGAGACTGAGGCAGGAGGATCATAAGTTCAAAGCCAGCCTTAGCAACTCAGCAAGGCCCTAAGCAACTCAGTGAGACCCTGTCTCTAAATAAAACATTTTTAAAAAGGGGGAGAGAGCTGGGGTTGTGGCTCAGTGGTAAAGCGCTTACCTAGCATGTGAGAGGCACTGGGTTTGATTCTCCATGCTGCATACAAATAAATGAATAAAATAAAAGTCCATCAACATCTAAAAAATATATATATAATTTTTTAAAAAGCTGGAGGGGCGATGTGGCTCAGTGATTAAGCAGCTCTGGGTTCAATGCCCAGTACCGCCCCCCCCCACCAAAAAAAGTCTATTATACAGCTGAATTTAAAAAATTAAAGAACAAAACATATAAATAGAGCCAGGGGCTCAGTATCAAACTGCCTGGGCTGACATTGTGGCTGTCACTTTCTAAAATGGTAAACTTGGACAAATGCCTTAACTTCTCAGTGCCTCAGCTTCCTCATCTGTAAGATAGGAAGACTAACGTAATTCCTAAATTATGAGGGCTAGAGTTGTGGATCAGTGGTAGAGCACTTGCCTGGCATGCATGAGGCCCTGGGTTCGATCCTCAGCACCGCATATAAATAAATAAATTAAAGATCCATTTACAACTAAAAAATATTAAAAAAAAAAAAAAATAACTGAATGTTGCTTACAACAGACCTTGGACTGGGGAGATAGCTCAGTTGGTAGAGTGCTTGCTTTGCATGCATAAGGCCCTGGGTTTGATCCCCAGCACCACAAAAAAAAGAAAAGAACAGACTTTGGCATGGTGGAAACTGTGAAAAAAAAAATAGTCTTTATTTTATGATTTAAATGTTCTTTAAATAGAAAAATACAATTTTAAATAAAGTAAAGGGGGCTGGGGTTGTGGCTCAGCAGTAGAGCACTCCCTAGCATGTTCAAGGCCCTGGGTTCAATCCTCAGCACCACATAAAAATAAAATAAAATAAGGATATTGTGTCCAACTACAGCTAAAAATATATATTTTAAATAAATAAAGCATTTAAAAAGTTATTTGGGGGCCAGGATGGGGGCACATACCTGTAAATCCCAGATCCTGAGGAAGCTGAGGCAAAAGGATCACAAGTTCAAGACCAGCCTGTACAACTAGACAAAAGCCTGTCTCAAAATTTAAAAAAAAGTTTGGGAGGCCAGATGCAGTGGTGTACACCTGTAATCCCATAGACCCAGGAGACTGAGACAGGAGGATCCCAAATTCAAGGATAGCTTCAGTAACTTAACAAGATCCTGTCTCAAAATAAAAAATAAAAAGTTCTGGGGATGCCCCTGGGATCAAGCCCCAGGGCAAAAAAAAATTTAAAAATAGAGGCAACAAAGTACAGCCAGGTGTGGCAGCATGTACCTATAATACCAGCTACTCAGAAAGCTAAGGAAGATTAATGAGTTCAAGAGCAGCCTAGGTAACATAGCAAGACCATATTTCAAAAACAAGAGGGAAGGGGTGGGGCTGTGGGGGTGGGAAGGATGGCAAAATAAGGTAGACATTATTATTTTATATACATGTATGATTACATTATTGGTGTGACTCAGCACCTTGTACAGCCAGAGGAAGGAAAAGCTGTGCTCTATTTGTGTACAATGTGTCAATGCATTCTACTGTCATGTATAACTAATTAGAACAAATTTTGAAAAATAAACAAAACAATTATATATTTAAAAAAGCAATTAAGGGGTTAGAATTGTAGCTCTGTGGGAGAGCACTTGCCTTCCATGTGTGAGGCACTGGGTTCCATCCTTAGCGCCACATAAAAATAAAGGTATCGTGTCCATGTACAACTAAAAATATATTTTTAAAAAAGCAATTAAGGCGCTGGGGTTGTGGCTCATTGGTAGAGTGCTTGCCTAGCACATATGAAGCCCTGTGGTCAATCCTCAGCACCACATAAAAAATAAATGCATACAATAAACCTATAAGAGGCTAATGTTGTGGCTCAGCAGTAGGGCGCTCGCCTAACTCGTGTGAGGCACTGGGTTCAATCCTCAGCATCACATAAAAATAAAGGAATTGTGTCCACCTATGACTAAAAAAAAATTTTAATAAAAATTAAAAAAATAAACCTTTTTAAAAAGTTATCTCATTAAAAAAAATCAATTTAAGTACAGGTACATACTAAAACATGGGTGAACCTTGAATATCTTATGCTAAGTGAAAGAAACCAGACACAAAAATTTTTGTTTTCTTTTTCAGTGCTTGGGATTGAACACAGGGCCTCATAGCATGCTAGACAAGTGCTCTACCATCAAGTCACATCTGCGGCCCTGTACGACTCATTTTGAATGAAATATCCAGAATATGTAAATGAACACTGACAGAAGACAGATTAATAGTTCCCAGGAAATGGGAGAAGGAAGAAAATGGGAAGCAATTAGTGTATGGAGTGTCTTTCTGGAGTAACATATATTTTGAAAATAGAGACAAATGGTGGTTGCATAAAACTGTCAATGCACTAAATGCCACTGAACCATACACTTTAAAATGCTTAATCATAAGCAGTATGAATTTCACCTCAATTAAACATTAACATATTCAGGCTTTGTGACACAGGCATGTAATCCTGCAACACAGGAGGCTAAGGCAAGAGGATCTCAAATTCAAAGACAGCCTCAGCAACTTAGGACCTAAGCAATTTAGCGAGACTCTGTCTCAAAATTGAAAAAAAGCCGGGGGGGGGGCAGTTGGAGAGTAGCTCAATGGTAAAGTACCCTTGAGTTTAATCCCCATAACCCCCACTCAAAACAAGATATATGTACATGGTCAGTTGAGGTTTTGCTGCCCAATAAAATCAGGTCAAATAATGACCTAGGGTAGAAAACTGCATTTGTCATACCACTGACTACAGTGGATAAAGTTGTGGCCTTCCAATACAGTATGGTGAAGCTCTAACCCTATGAGTATGACTTTATTGGAAATAAGGTCTTTGCAGATATAATTGACATATGTGTTAAAATGAAGTCATACTGGAGTAGGGTGGACCACATTATAATGTCCTTATAAGAAGAGAAGAAACGTAGAATGAAGCACACACAGAGAGGAAAATGTCATGGGAAGACACTAACACAAAGTACGAAGATGGCCATGTAACTATGGGGTAGAAATTAGAATGGTACTGCTGTAAGCCAAAGAACACCAAGGATTGCCAGCCATCCCAGAAGCTAGAAGAAACAATATGGCCTGGCAGATGCTTTGATGTTGGACTCTTTAAAATCTTCAAAAACATAAGAAAATAAGTTTCAGTTGTTTTAAACTACCCGGTTATTTGTGGACATACCACCCTGAATGCTCCCAATCTCATCTAAATCTAAACTACCCAGTTTTCGGAATTTGTTTCAGCAGCCCTAGGAAACTAATACACTAAGCAAGTTACTACTTGAATTCATGGCCCCAAACTGCTTTTCAAATTTCAATTTATGATCTCACCACCATAAGAATATCCCTTTTAACACATCTGACAATGTTGGGTCACTTTATTTAATAAAATAAATCTTATAAAACACAGATTTCACCTCCTTTCCATTTAGATTTCTTGAACTGATTTAAAATGTTTCAAATATTTTAGATACAATTGTAAATATATGATTACATCAACGCACATTTTTTTCCCTCAACTCATAAAGGCAACTTACCTGAGTTTTTCCAAGGCACTTTCTCGTTCAATGCGAAGTTTAGCTAAAGATGTGTTCTCTGCTTTAAATTTTTCTATTTCTGTTTCCAATTCAATAACTTTCTCTCTCAACATCTGGGATCGAGCATTGTCACCTAAAAAACAGGCCATAAATACTGACTTCTACATAAGGCTTAAAGCAGGAAAAAAATCTATCTAGCTACTAATACTAAAAAACCAAGAATATGTAAACCCATGTGCCATTAAAATGCATTTGAAACAAAGCTTGCCTAACTTTCCAAAGAAAATCAGTCTGAATTTAAGACTTAATCTAACTTAAGAATATTGTCTTTAAAAGTATTGTCTTAAATTATTCCTGAGATCTAAAAAGCTAATCATTCCAAAATCAAAGTTTACCCCACTACTAAAGAAATGCAAATTAAGACACTTTTCCCCTTATCAAATTTGCAACTTATTAAAAAAAAAAAGTACTTCTGTTCTTCATTTGAAACAAGCATTTTAATATTTGGTACTACCCTTTCAGAAAATACTTTTGATCTAAATCATAGGCTAGAAGGATGAGCAAAGTAAGATATATGTCTTTTCGCATTAAAAATACATAGGAACCGCAATGGTGCATGCCTGTAATCCCAGCAGCTTGGGAGCCTGAGGCAGGAGGATCACAAGTTTTTGAGGCCAGCCTGAGCAATTTAGTGAGGCCTTAAGCAACTTAGTGAGACTCTGTTTCAAAATAAAAAATAAAAAGGACTGGGGATGTGCCTAACTGGTTAAGCACCCCTGAGTTCAATCCCTGGTACCAAATAAGAAATTAAAAAAAAAATAGGAAAAATGACTGGAAGCAAATATCCCAAAATGGCATAGTAGTTACTCTTGAGAGTATAGTTATGGATATTTTTATTTCTTTTTAACTTTCAAACTTCCTCTAAAAAGTGTTACATTTAAAATGAGAATAATTTTTACAAATAATTTAGCTATAATTTATATTTAAAGAACCAAATGCTCTGCTAGGTATTCATAGGTTATGTGACAATATAATGGAAAGAAGTTTTTCAATGTTAAGTTTGAAAACCCCATCACATTAACACAGCCATTAAACAGAATGAGGCAGATATGCATATGTTAGAATAATCATCAACATTTATCATAAACATCCTTGTCCAGAGTACACAGTATACTCTGCCCACCCATTAGTCATGTAGTAGCCATCTAGGTTAGGGGATTTATTTTCCTTAATAATGGCCCCAAAACACTACAGTAATGATGAAAATTTGGATATGCCAAAGAGAAGCCACAAAGTACTTACTTTAAGTGAAAATTATGTGTTATAAGAAAAAACAGTATATAGAGTTCAACACTATCCAATTTCAGGCATCCACTAGAAGTCTAATGGGGGGGAACTACTGTACTTTATTCCTTCCTGGTCATGTTTGACAAGTCAATTCAAGTGGTTAAAAAGAAAACAATTATAAAAGGAGAGTCATGGGAGCCAGGCATGGTGGCACATCTGTTATCCCAACAACTTGGGAGGCTGAGGCAGGAAGACTGCAAGTTCGAGGACTTAGCAAGACCTGGACTCAAAATAAAAATGGACGGGGGAATGTAGCTCAGTAGAGTGCCCCTGGGTTCAATCCCCCATTACCTAAAAAAAAGGGGGTGGGGGGCAAGGGTGTAGTTCAGTGGGTGGTAGAGTACTTGCATGGCATGGGCAAGGGTCTGGGATCAATCTCCAGATCAAAAAAAAAAAAAAGAAAGAAAAAGAAATCCAAAAGAACAGTTCATCTGAATCTCTTATCCTAGAGATTATATTAGGTTATTTAGACCCACAAAATTTTTAATTTCATTTTTAAAAATCACCCAGTAATTAAACTTCCCCATTAATGTTAACTTTAACATTCTAATACATATTTTATAAGTTTTGACTCACCAGGTGGCTGATCTTGATTCATGTTTAATTTGGGTTCATTTCCTAAATGTGAATCTGATTTTGTTTTAGGTTTCAAAGACGGGAAGAATTTCATCATCAGATCTGAGGTAGGAGGAGGACTTCTACTCCTACGAGACTTGCTTAAGTCTTCTCCCTTCTTGACTGGTGCAACCTTCCTTTTAATTGTTTTGTCCATAACACATATTTCACTTTTATTAGGGTAGCATGTCTGTGTCATTCCATAAATGGCTTCATCCCCAAGATTAATGGCATGTTTACATGAATTCTCTTCAAGGTCGGTCCAAGATCTTTCATCGTCAAAATCAATTTTACTCATACTTAGAAATGAGGGTCTTCTTGAGGGCTCAGGCACTTTATTCATGTTTTCTATTACAATAGACTCATCACTGCTATAATCTTTGTCAGACAAATCCAAATCAACATCTCTCCTTTTATCTTCTTGAGTCCTGGTATCCCTAATAGGCCCCTTGTCATTACAGACTTGTGGACTATCCTCTCTGTTGTTGAAACTTCTTTCTCCAGCCTCACTAAATGGTTTTATGGCAACATTAAGCTGCTCCTCAGAGTCAATGCTACTGTCACTATTTGTAACACCTTCATCATCACTTGCATCCCATTGCATTTGATTTTCAGAAGTGATCATTTGGAAGGCCTTCCTACTGATTTTACAAGATGGTTCCCTCAATCCATCAGGCAAGGATGCTGAACCAAGAGATTTAGGTGTGACCTCACACTCCCTTTTACTTTCATGGGGAGGGTTATGGCCTGGATCTTCACCATGGTTATTCTGACTACTGGGATTCATCAGGTGTGTCTTTTCCTGCTGCACAGCTTTGACAGGGGTTGAAGACATCCGATGACCTTTGCTGATTTGTTGGTCCCTTTCTAAAATTTTCAGTACAAATGAAGAATTACTAGAAAATGATATTTCATCAGCAGCTTGCTCTAAAAATAAAAATTCATCCAATTCCAAATTTTCCTTTTCCTTTTCTCTTTCCCAATTCTCCAATTTTTTCTGAAGAGAAACATCAAGAGAAGATTCTGACTCCTTCACAATCTCATTTACTGGGCTCTTAGAAGCCATGCAGCTGACAGGTCCTGTTAAAAGACGCTGTCTGTCTTTCCCTTGTATCTTATTCCACATTTTGCAACCAGCATCACAGGGTTTTGTATACTCGGGTGCATTTTCTTTGTTATTAGATTGGACCTTTTTTTCTAATTTAATCTGATCTTTAATTTGCCAATCACATTTCTTCCCCATCTGTATTTTCAATACTGATGAAGAGAGATTTTTCCTATTATTGCTTTTAGGCACTTTTGGTTTTTGAGTGAGTGTAACAGAAGCAGTTTTGTTTCTAGCTTTATTTTCCTTTTTAAAAGTAGTATTCTCTGCACACAGTTCTTTATTTATAAGAGCAGTTTTCCGCTGGAATTGTTGTTTGTCTATTTTAAACACAGAGTGGTCCTCTGATGTGCTCTGGTTAGGCACTAGTTTACTTTCTTTCCCTTTTTGAATCTTAGATTTAGCATTAGTAAACCTAGCTAAACCTTCTCCTCGTTTTAAGAATGGTTGTTTGGGTTTTGCTTTTATTAGCAAAGGTTCTTCTGCCTCCTAAAATGAGAATATTTGAATTAATAATGATATATCCAAGTAATCTTAAAGTTACTATATAAATAACTATTGCCTTAGAATAACAATCAAAATAGTATAAATGCGAACCCTTAGCTGGTTGTTTTTCAGTTCTTGTTCTTCCAACCGAATTTGTTCTTCTAAATAGTCTTCAAATGTCTGCTTCCTTTCTCTAATGGCAGCTTTAATAGGCCTAATCATAAAAACAAAGTTAACACTCAAATCACAATGTATGGATATTTTATACTCAGTGTGCCTCAACTACACTGAGAACTAATCTTTTTCAAAGTCAAGGACCAAGAGTTAGGAGTAAGCCCAGCAGTACAGCACACACTTAGTTCAAACAAGGCCCCTGGTTCCATCCCCAGCACCCAAGCAAACAAACACAAAACCCCCAAATTAGGACCTTCTTGAATTCTCCTTTGAGAATTTAATGAAAGCTACAATGCCTCACAACCCTGAAAAAAACAAAAATATACAATATTCTGCACATGATTTGGGAGATTCAAGAACACTTCTAAACTCCATCTACTGATTATAAAGTAACTTGTAATGCATTCATTATATAACTTTAAAATGGATTTTTAAATAGCTCATTAAATATGTATGTTTTGAATTAAGAAAAGTCCTTAACAATGTGAGTAAAGTCAAAGTCATTTTTCCCATATTATATAACATACTAAAATATTTCAAATATAAGAATAAACCTAAACTGCCTTAACATTTTAATTCTATGACTTAAATTGTGCAATTATAATTCATAAGTGACACCAAATGTGAGATTCCAATATCTAATTTTCCTCATCTCTAAAAAAGGATCTAACTATTTCAGAGAAAATTAATTTCATCCAGCTATTTCTCCTAAGGGAGGATATTTGCTCAGTTCTTCCAACACAATGTCAAAGCTACTTGAACTAATGTATCTCCCAACTCCATCTGTTGTTGACAGTATGTGATAAGTTTAGCCATCAACCTTATACTTATAAGCATATTCAAATGAAAACAAGCATAGAATCTTTAAAGAAAGTACTCAATAACAAAGGTTGTTATATTAAGCTGCGACATTTATTATTACTTTTCACATGAATAATACCTTTCTTCCATATTAACCACTTCTGAGGAATCATCAATCTTTTTTAAGTTCATATCATTCCCCTCCTGAATCTGTTCTGTTATTTTCTCCCAGCAAGATGAAATACCTTCTCCTAGGATAAAAATTAGGAATAATTTAGTTTAAAAAAAGGTAAAGTCTTAAAACATGAGAACTTTATAAGGTACTATGCTAAAAAATATTTATTTGAAAGTAACATATGCTGAAAATGTTATGACACTCTAGGAATTCTTCAATATGATAAAGAGAAACTACAAACCAAACATGTAACCGCCCACCTGTTAACTCAGCTACTCAAAAATGTAAAACAAGAAGATCAGAAGTTCAAGGTCAGCCTAGGCAAGTTAACAATGCTTTCTCAAAATAATAAAAAGGGTGTGGATAGAGCTCAGTGGTAGAATATCTGGGTTTAATCCCTAGTACCAGAAGGAAGAAAAAGTGGTGGCAGAATAAAAGAGATTTAAAAAATTCTAATAACCAAATATATTAATTTGATTGGATCCTGGTTTAAAAAAATTTTTTTGGAAGACATTTTTGGGAAAATAGAGGGAATTCCAAAATGAATTTAGATACTAAGGAATTACTGGGGTTTTTTGGGGGGATACCAAGTGATTGAACTCAGGGTGCCTGACCACTGAGCCACATCCCCAGCCCTATTTTGTATTTTATGTAGAGATAGGGTTTCACTGAGTTGCTAGGCACCTCTCCATTGCTGAGGCTGGCTTTGAACTTGAGATCCTTCTGCCTCAGCCTCCGAGCAGCTGGGATTACAAGCGTGCGCCACCACGCCTGGCCTAAGGAATTACCATTATTATACCTAAGGAAATTAACAGTATTATGACTGTAGAGAGGAATGTTCTAATTTTTACTTGATACACATTGAAATATTTGGAATGAAGTACATATTACTTTCAGTAAAATGGCTCAGCAATTTTCATATATAGCTACAGATTAAAGATATACACATACCACATATATATTTACAAAGTATGGCAAAATATTAACCATCTAATCAATGCAATGGTCTTTGAACTTTTCTGGGTGTTTGGGGGGGGGGAAAGGAAGTATGTTATGTAAAAGAAAAGAAAGACATTTGAGATTTCCATATTGATAGAGTATTCTAGGAATAAGGCAATATATACAAAGGTAGGTAATCCTAAATGGTAGCCATAGACACCTTTATTGTGTTATTTGTATTTTTCTAATAACTTAATAGTACATTCACAAAAACACATTAAAATTAAAAAGTTTACAGGCTGGGATTGTGGCTCACTGATGGAGTGCTTGCTTAGCATGTGTGAGGCCCTGGGTTTGATCCTCAGCATCGCAAATAAATACATAAAATAAAGGTCCATCTACAACTAAAAAAATTTTTTTAAATATTTAAAAGTTTAGAAATACAGAAAACTTTTGACTTGCCACAAAGAATATTCAATAGATATATTATTTGATGACTAGCATAATGTTGACAATTATTACACTATGTTTATTGAGATTACAGGACATACTATAACACAAGAATAGTATACAATATTCATGATTGCAACAATACAAAAAAGGAGAGGAGAAAGGAGGCAGGAGCAGGGCTTTAAAAAAAAAAAAAATACTAGGGCTACAGTTGTGGCTCAGTGGTAGAGTGCTAGCCTAGCACATGTGAGGCCCTGGGCTCAATCCTTAGCACCACATAAAAATAAACAAATAAAATAAATGTATTGTGACCAACTAAAAAATAAATATTAAAAAAAAAAAAGACTAGTTTGGGATGTAACTCAGTGATGGAGTTCTTCCATGTGCAAGGCACTGGGTTTTCTTTTTTTTTTTTTTTTTAAAGAGAGAGTGAGAGAGGAGAGAGAGAGAGAATTTTTAATATTTATTTATTTTTTAGTTCTCGGCGGACACAACATCTTTGTTGGTATGTGGTGCTGAGGATCGAACCCGGGCCGCACGCATGCCAGGCGAGCGCGCTACCGCTTGAGCCACATCCCCAGCCCCAAGGCACTGGGTTTTATCCCCTGCATTGCYCCCCCCCCCCCACACACACACACAAAAAAAAAAAAATACAGCAAAAATGCCAAGAGATCACCGTGAGTTTACATTATCAAACAATGAGTGCCAGTTCTCTGGCACAAATGTGCTAGGTGCTGCGAATATAGAGGCATAGTGAAAACAACAGCCTAGGTTAGAAGAAACCTCTTTTATAAGTAACTCCCAACACCAGCTACTCCTGTGTGTGTTTCTGTGTATGTGTGCACATGCGTACACGCACAAAGGATTAAACCTAGTGGCAACATACCACTGATTTATATCCCTACTCCTTTTTGAGCTTCAAGGCCCAAGCTGGCCTTGAACTTTTGATCCTCCTGACTCAGCCTCCCAAGTAGCTCAAATTATAGACATTGCTACCACCTCATTCAGTACCACCAACCTTATTCTCATGTGTCATATATTTCCAGGCAATCAAAAAAAAAAAAAATGGTACATGCAGAACTCACTGCCTCCCTCTTTGAAAACCCTATGCTACCTACAGAGTCTGAAGTCAGCATGAGTGTCAACAATTACTCTTGGAAAGTCAAATTCTAGGCTGGCTGTTTGTCTCAGTGGCTATGTAGCATGTGGAACCTTACAATTAGAGCCACAGGGGATAGAAAAAAATGCAAACAAGCCTGCTCTTAGTTTAAGACAACTTGATAATTCTGTTAGTTTTTACAAAAGTAATTCACCTGTAGGATGGCTATGGTTTTCTTCCTTCAAATCATTTTTCTTCACAGCTGGTTCTTGATACTGTGACTCATAAAACAAATTTGGAGAAGCACTTTTTGAAGGTAAGACAAAATCTTGATGAGTAGCTCTACAGAAGTTGTTTTGTTCATCAGATAAAATTCTGCAAACATGTGCTTTTTCTTGGGTTTGGTTAGAGTAGACACATGATGGCAAGAAGGATGTGGCTTTCTCTCCAGCAGCTGAATTTACTGGAGATCTGTACTTCTGGTTCTGATCATCAGGCAGTAAAGTCAAACCTTTAAGAAAATCAACAAAGTTAATGCCTTCCAGCAATATTTTCTTTTCTGCCTAACAGTAACCCCTACTCCACAAAATGATAAAGCAGCCAGGTATGGTGGCATAAGCTTATAATCCCAGCAGCTCAGTGGGGGCTGAGGCAGGAGGATCAAGTTCAAAGCCAGCCTCAGCGAAAGTGAGGCTCTAAGCAACTCAGTGAGATTCTGTCTCTAATCTAAATTCAAAAAAGGTCTGGGGATGTGGCTCAGTGGTTGAATGCCCCTGAGTTCAATCCCCTGTACCCCCATCCCGAAAAAAATGATAAAAGCATTTTTTTCTCCTTATTAAGAAACAGCGTTTAACAAAAATCACAAAACCTTTCATTCCAAAGTGATCTTCACATAATTTGATGAGAACACTATGCTTTCTGTGCATATGCATGTACATGTGCACATCAAAGGTGGGAGCACCAAATAACTCTGGAATGCATCACTGCAGCTGCCAACTCTGCAAACCTGTGACAGACACAGTTCAATACCAGTGCAGAGCTATGATCCGAGTCATTTCCTAATTAACAATAACTGCCTATAGTTTCTCCCCTTAGGCAGCCCTTGAAATCTTATATCCTTGGGTGGTGGGTTTAAGATAGGAAAGAAATAAAGATAAAGGAGACAAACAGGGAAGAAACTTTAAAAACTCCAAGAACACTTTCCCCTTTACCCTCAAACCTGTTTTCCTCCAGGCCTGAATTCTTAAAGGGTCCAATAAATCTTAAGAGTACTGTAAATCCCATTAATTAATGCCTATATACCTCTGTGCTTGCAGGATATATTTTTATACTAATTAAAAGAGATACTATAAAGATACTGTAAAAACCATGACATAGGTAGTCTAAGCACTACCAATTAGATAATGTCAATCTAAAGATTCTGAAAACAAGACCATCATGACCTACTCTGAACTCCACAATCAAAAGAAATGAGCTGATGTCATCCCACATTCTTTCAAACTCAGCTTATAGTTTTCTTCCTTCCTCCCTTCCTTCCTTCTTCCTTCCTCCCTTCCTTTCTTTCTTTCCCTCCAATACTAGGGATTGAATCTAGGGGTGCTCTACCACTGAGCTACACCCTATACCTACACCCTTTGTACATTTTAAGACAGGGCCTTGCTAAGTTGCTTAGGGCCTTCCTAAATTGCTGAGGCTGGCCTTGAACTTGCAATCCTCCTGCCTCAGCCTCCTGAGTCACTAAGATTACACCACTCCTTGCTACAAAATTTCCTTTAAAAGAAGTCTGAAATCTCCAAAGCACATCTCACTCTCAAGCTTCAGCACTCCCTCTCTTCCCTTGAATGTGTATTCTCCTGTTACTTGCTTTTTCTGCTATGTCTCTTTTGACACATCCTAAAATTCCTTTCTGCAGTGTAAGTCAAGAACCTGCCAGGGCAGAGGTGAGGTCCCTTTTCCTTTCTGGAGCACTTCCTTGGACCCCCACATTCAGTGACAGATTCACAGGTGACTTTTTCCTCATTTTCTAAATTTCTTGGACTATTTTTTTTTTTGTTTTGTTCCGTAAGTCTCTGCTTTTGAAGTAACCCAATAAACAGAGTCTGCTATATATCTCTAACCTTCACTTCTTAAAGAAGAAGTCATACCAACCATCCTACCTACTACACCAACCCCTGAAATTCTGCTGCCAGTTCTGTGTTCTCCTGGACTGCCTCACCTAAATTTGGGAGTGAAGATATAATGGGAAGTGTTTTATACAACAGTGGATACCATTTATCACTTATCTACCTCAACTTCAGTCCACAAATAAAACTAGAAATCAGGTAGGCCCCACAAAGTATCAGCTTCAACCTTTCTTCCTTGATAAAATATTCCTCACCCCATTCTAAATATTTTTGACCAACGAACATCTCACTGCAATCTGAAGAGGTTTTTGGAAAAATACTGCTCTAAAGCAATAAATTCTCCATGCGTGGTCTGTTAACTCCCTAGAGGTCTCTAAGACTATTTCAGGATACTCGCCAAATCAATATTTTTTTCATAAAATATCCATTGATGGAACAAAAGCAAAATGAAAAATTGCTGGCACATCATTCAAGGCAAGACAGTACCACCCAACTATGCCAGTTGTAGTGTCAACTGTTATTTGCACCCCCTGTGTAAGCACAATCTTAAAAAAAAAAAAAAGTTTTTACTTAAGAATGCCCTAAGCAAAGAAGACATGGTGGCACACCCCCATAATCCCAGTAACTCAAGAGGCTGAGGCACAAGGATCACAAGTTTGAGGGCAGCCTCTGCAATTTAGGAAGATTCTGTCTCAAAATACAAAACAAAAAAGGGATGAGGATATAGCTGAGTGGTAGAACTCCATGCTTTATGAACACTGTATGAGACAAAACGGGAAATACATATAAATCAAGTCTGCTGCAAACCATGAAGTGACTTAAATTGAGCTGCAAGCTCAACCAGCCACTTCTTCCAAGGAACACACTTTTACTTGAAAGAATGAATGAGACAATCTATGGTTATTTAAACCTGGATATTTAGCAGACATTTTCTCAAAAAGAAACAAGGTACATATAAATAGCTTACATTATTTGTTGCCAATAATAAAATTTGACCTCTCAAATAAAAAACAGAATTCTGGAAAACATATCCACCATCATGAGTTTGAAGGATATTTTATAATACTTCAAGACTTTGAAGATGAAACTGGCAGTGATATTAATGAGTATAATATTGTGTATTGAGTACTGAGATGTCAACATTTTGAAAACCAACATAATTCAGTGAATCATTATTTTCCAAAATGATCAATGCCCTAAATCATGCATGATTAAGAAAAAACTAATCAAAATGTCAAGATATTCAATTTATTTAACCGTATATTTTAAAATAATAGGATACAACAAATTGATTAATATGGTTTCAGATTCCTACTGGGAATAACCACTAAGAAATGACCATTTTTTAACATGCAGTATCAATGAAGAATATCCAGAATTATCTGAAAAGACTATTAAAATACTCCTCTTTTTCCAATTAGTTATCCACATGAAGTTGAAATTTTTTCAAATATTGCAACCAAAACAACATAATTCAACAAACTAAGTTGCAAAATTAGGTAAGAAAATCAGCTGAGTTCTATTAAGCCAGAAGTTAATGATACTTTCTAAAATAGAAAATAATAATAATGCCTTTCTTCTCACATTATTGTCTTAGAAAATAATTTTCATTTTAAAAATGCTATTTTTAGTAAAATGCAACTGGTTTATTATTTCCAAGTTAGTTTAAAATGTCTTAGTATTTCTAATATAACTACTTATTGTTTGAATGGTTAATGTCCCCCTAATGGCTCATAAACTAAAACCTTAGCAGCCTGTGGTTCTGTTGGGAGGTGCTAGAACCTTTAGGAAGTGGGACCTAATGAAAGAAAGTTAGGTCACCGGGTGCATGCATTCAAGAGGATATTGGGTCTATGGCCCCTTCCCCTCTTCCACTCACACTCTCTCTTCCCTCCCTTCCCACTCCTGTCTGGCCACTATTAGATGAGCAACTCTTCCAGTATATAGGCTCAGAGCAATACAATCAAGTCATCATGGCCTTGAAAAACACCAAGAGGAGGAAAGAGGTTTTGGATTGCAAGAGATCTCAGTTTGATCACCACATCTACTATTTATTAGGTATGTGTCCAGAAGCAAGTAATTTAACTTCTCTCAGGCAAAGCTCCTCCTCCAAAACCTCTGAAACAGTAAGCCAAAATTAACATTTTCACCTTTTAGTTGTTTATCTCAGATATTTTGTCATGATAACAGAATACTAACACAGTAACTTATTAATAAATGTAGCCCATAAGGCTGGGATTGAGGCGCAGTGGTAAAGCACTTGTCTAGCAAGTGTGAGGCACTGGGTTCAATCCTCAGCACCACATAAAAATAAATAAAGGTATTGTGTCCATCTACAACTGAAAATAAAATATAATAAATAAATAAATAAATAAAGCCCATAGAGCAAAAATTCTTTAGGATCTTCAATAATTTAAGAGTATTAAGAGGTTCTGAAACTAGAAAAGTTTGAAAATCACTGCCCTGCGTAGCTCAGTTGTAGAACATGTACTTGACATGCACAAGACCCTGGGTTCAATCCCTAGCACCAAACATACAAAAGAAAACATTGCCTGCCTCAAAGCAAACTGTTCAATAACTGAATGGGGCCAGTTCTGATACCAGTAACTATGACATGTGCTTCCCTATTACTCCATAGCACTAGTCTGTAATAAAAAGTACCAGAGTCTATTATTTATATGATCCTATTATTTTCTTATATTCCATAAAGCCCCCTAAAACCTTCTTCACTTGTTACAGTTTTTCATCATCACTCACCCCACTCCCACCCAGCCACACTCATTTGCCAATGTCTTTTCTTCTCCATATTCTCAATGTCCAATTCAATCTCTGTACAAAACAGGCTCTTTCCTGAACCAGTAAAATGTGTACCTTTGAAGACAGCAGCAAGAAGCATACACACTTTTCAAACTGTGGAAGACAATTCATTAACAATTTTATCATCAGACACAATAAGTTACTGCTGACTTATTTTTTTAAATGACACAGAATTAGAATAAACAAAATAGAAAATATCCCTCTACATCACCAGGCACACCAAAAAAGATTGATAATATAAAATTTACTTGTCATTATGAGTCCTGACTGAAATGTTTTTGCTACTATGGAATGTGGTCAAAAACTTTTAAAAACACTATTCCAGATCACATTTTAACAGTTATTTTCCCTCATAAGCTCATGATGCTTTCTGTTAACAACAGAATATTATCATCTTTAACCACATAACAAACATTTTGGGTATGGTTCTTCATTTGAACAGAGTGGCTTCTATTGTTTACTGACCATTCTATATGTTTAACTTTACTGGCCTCTAATAGTTTTCATTCATTAGGCAGGGAATGCATACCAGTAGCTCTAGCCAAACTGGGCTCTTTTTTTTTTTTAGTTGTTGGGGTTGGACCTTTATTTATTTACATGTGGTGCTGAGAATTCAACCCAGGGCCCCACACATGCTAGGCAAGCGCTCTACCACTGAGCTACAGCCCCAGCCCTTTTTTCTTAATAAATTGGCTGATAGGTGTGGTTCAGTAGTAGAGGGCATACTTGACATACACAAGGCGCTGTGTTTAACCCCCAGCACCCAAATAAACAAACAAATATGAAGGCCGTTGAGCAGACCACATGCACCCCAGAATGCCAGTTCCTACTAATTTCATTCATATTACACTACTCCCATATTTCACTCTGATCTGTCTGACCCCTGAAGAAACTGGAGTTTGTAACATATGATAGGAATGGTAGAAATCACCTGTCAGACTACTGAAAGAAAGAACTGTGTGAAACTGTTTCTCATCCTATTAACTGAAGGCCCTGTGTAAGCAAAACATACCTGGAAGCATGTGCTGCCCAGACACTGTAGTAAGCAGCTTTTCTTGTTCTTCCATGAGCCTTTGTAGTTGCTCTAACTGTTGCCTCTTCAGTTGTTCTTGTTTCTTCTGTTGTACTTCCTTCAGCTTTTTAAACATAAAATTAACTATTAAAGAAGCAAAACTTTCTTCATGAACACTTGCTCCTTACATTTATCTCACTCCTTCCCATTTCCCTTCTCCTGTATTCCCTCATAGGGAATTTCAGAGAGGGATCCCCTCAGTAAATAAGTCTGCCACCAAAACTCTAAAATCCAATTTCTTCTGAGCAAGTTATGTCAGCTATCTCACCTAAGAAACAAAAAAAGTCACATGAATCCTCCAAGTCTTACAATAGGATGGGTATTCAGGGCATCATCAACTTTTTTCTCCTAGTGTTTGAACAACCATTTCTAATTTAGCTCTCATTATAAGATACAACTTAAAGAAATAAAGTTTTATATCTTACATATTAAATAATCTTTAATGTTGCACATTAGACAAAAGGCAAAATCTGGTATTTTGAGGATTTCAGAATAAAAGGGAAAAATAAGAGGATCTGGAACAAATAACTTATAATCATATAATACCTGCAATAACACAAACACATATAAGGCCAAATTCTATTATACCTGTTCGAGTTTTTTAAAAAGTGGGTCTTTATAAGCCACTTGTTGTAATTCACTCACAAGATTGGGAATAAAGTCATTTTTATTATCTTCCTGGTGTTCAGAAGCATCCTGGCATGCTACTATTTGTGGTTCCTTTTTAACTAAAGGAAAGATTGTATGGACTTCAGATTTTTCTGACTGTAGTTTAAAAAGGCCATCAGACTCCAATTTCTGTTCTTCATGAAGTGAATCTTCTTCACTAATAAAACTGAAGCTCTTTGAAAAATATGCAGCTTTAACAGGAAAGCCGGTAGAAGCATTTGTAGCTGTGTGCTTATCTTCATCTGTTTCCAAAATAGGAAATCCACGATTTAATATGACCCCAGCCCGAGAAGGATTGGTCATCCATTGGGTTAGGAAGTTCTGCCCACTGTTTAACTCTGAAGAGGCTGGCATCAGGAACATTTTAGTCAAATGACACTATTATATTTAAATAATGGAAAAGTCAGAAGAGCTCTTGATTTTCAATACCTACAGACAAAGACAGGCAACACAAAGTATTAGTTAAACCTACTAGAGTTCTACCCAAAACTAGCCCAAATCTCACCCACCACAAAAGGCTTAAGTCAACAGAGCAACTGGGCATTAAGTTACATGGGTTTTTTTGTTTGTTTATTTTTGTCTTCAAAATATCCAAATTGTATAAGAAAACCTGAGATCCCTCTGCTCTAAATATTCAATTACTAATGACATTATTATACAAGTGCTAGATCAGTTGACCTTTGGAAGCTAAGAGACACTGTTTTAAAAAAATAAATAAATAAAATATATATATATATATATATATATATATATATGAGTCAAATCATTTTTAAATGATTTCTTATATATATTGCCTTTAAAAAAAAAACTTTTTTTTTTTTTTTTTTTTTTTTTTTAATGTGGTGCTGAGGATCAAACCCAGTGCCTCACACATGCTAGGCAAGCACTCTACCCCTGAGCCACAACCCCAGCCCGGAAGCTAAGACACTTTTAAGTTACTCATTAAAAAAAAAAAAAAAAAAAAAAACACTACCACTGTCATGTATTACCCACACTAAGCATTTTCTTGCTTCTTTGCCCAGCTGTTTTCTCCCTAGTTCCAGAAGGAAAGTTGTCACCACTACTACCATCAACACCACTACTCATAGCTTTACCTGGTACTGTTTCCCCAACTTTTCCTCCCCCATATCTCCCCAAAATCCCTTGCCCACTAGGCTGTCCCTCATTTGTATTCCTAAAGGTTCGTGACTTGACTGTTTCAGCATTTATCTCAGTATTAGTAACATTTTGCTTTCAAGTTCATACTCTACCAAACTGCGGAGCTCCTCCTAAAAAATATCTGTATATTCTCCCCCCGCCTAACACTATGCCTGGCAGACAGAAGGAACCTGATAAAAGTTTGCTAAAAATAAGTTTAAAATAAATCATAACTCGGCACAGTGACACAGGCCTGTAATCCCACTAACTCAGGAGGCTGAGACAAGAGAATCTCAAGTTCAAGTCCAGGCTCAACATTATTACTTTTCTAGTTGGAAAAAAAATAAGCACAATCTTTAATTTCCAAACATGCACACTATCGAAGAACTGGAGATACAGAAGTTAGTACTATGACCAGAATAGTGAAGGAAAAAAGACTAGAAAGTATGTCACAAGTTTCACACCAAATGACAACTGTAATTTTCCATGGTATAACAGATTTAAAAAGCTATCTATTGTCAGGCGTGGTGGCACACACCTGTAATCCCAGCAGCTTAGGAGGCGGAGGCAGGAGGATCGCAAGTTCAAAGCCAGCCTCAACAACAGAGAGGTACTAAGCAACTCAGTGAGACCATTTCTAAATAAAATACAAAATAGGGCTGGGGATGTGGCTCAGTGGCCAAGTGCCCCTGAGTTTAATCCCCAATACCCCCCTTCAAAAAAAAAAAAAATAGGGGCTGAGGGCATAGCTCTTGGTATAGTGAGCTATGGCACCCTAAAAAATAAAAATTGAAAAAAAGGAACAATGTTGAGATACTTTCAGCAAAAACAATAACTCCTGATCTGTTTATTCTTAATTATAAAAAATTGATGAAATTAGCTATCTGCATCAAAATAAATATCCAACAAACAATTTAAAATAATTCTGAACAGGATCTAAACTTATAGCTTTGGCCAGGCATTAAAAACAACTGTACCAAAAGAAAGACAGCTGAAAATGTGGTTCAGTGGTGGTGGATAGGGCACATGCCTAGTATGTGCCAATGCCCTGGGTTCAATCTCTAGCACTGCCAAAAAACAAAAACAAACTCGCACCAACAGAAAAAAGTAGGGAGAAAACATTTTTAGATGGTGAAAAGATAAATAAATTCATAAATTTATAAAGATAAATGAGTTCATTTGTCTGAAAATTATGAGATTTAAGAAGATATTTTAATTATAAGATTAAAGAAGACATTTTATATATAGTTAAGTAACCAAAGAATTGTTCACGAACCCTTCTAATATGAACTGATTCAAAACTGGAAAAATTACTTTTCTTTAGTTTTATGAGGGTGGTGCAATAAGAGAAAGTGACCAAGTTAGATACATCTTTTCTCAAAGATCATCTACATTTACAAAGAAATGTTATCTATTCATAGCCTCAAAAATTGAATTTGTGGGGCATACATCTTTTCTCAAAGATCATCTACATTTACAAAGAAATGTTATCTATTCATAGCCTCAAAAATTGAATTTGTGGGGCTGAGGCTGTAGCTCAGTGGTAGAGCACTTGCCTAGTATGTGTGCCATACTGGGTTTGATTCTCAGCACCACATAAAAATAAATAAAAATATTTATAGGTATTGTGTCCTTCTACAACTAAAAAAATTATTTTTAAATAAAACAAACTGAACCTGTGAATAGATATTTTAATATTCTAACAAAGAATTCCAGCTAGACATGAAAATTAGTTCTCATGAAAGATTGTCTATTAGGAAAAATATGGATTTAACTAGACACAATGGCACACACCTGTAATCCTAGCTACTTAGGAAGCCAAAGCAGAAGAATCATAAATTCGAAGCCAGCCTCCACAATTTAGAGACCCTGCCTCAAAGTAAAAAAATAAAAAGGGCTAGTCAGTCATAGAGCACCCCTGGGTTCAACCCTCATTACCACATACACACAAAGAAAAAGAAGGGAAAAAATGCTGGATTTATGGATTTAATGAAATTTTTAAACAAGAGACTGCTTTGCAGCTTCATTCCACTGTATGATACACACTGTGCTCAGTTTTCTGAAGCAGAATCCATGAACAGTATCGTGGACAGAGATGTTTAAATTTTTCAGTACATTTAAATGCTATGAATCACCAGTTTATAGAACTGTTAAAAGAAATGGAAGACAGTGAACTTAATAATATTGGTTTGGTTTGGTTTGGTTTGGTTCAGTACTGAGGTTTGAACTCAAGGGTGCTTAATCAATGAGTCACATTCTCAGCCTTTTTTTATTTTTTGAGGCAGGGTCTCACTAAATTGCTTAGGGACTTGCTAAATTGCTGAGGCTGGCTTTGATCCTCCTGCCTCAGCCTCCCAAATTGCTAGGATTACAAGTATATGCCAATGGGTTGGCCAATGATACTGTTTTGATTTTTTGTTTTGTTTTGGCCACTGCTCCCTGGTTGAGTTGTGAGAGGGCTTTTACAAGATTTAGTGCATTATTAATTCCTACTATCAACTAAAGGTTTTCTTAAAACAAACGGAATGCTTGCCAATCATTCAATTGTCAAAGACAAAAATGTCTGTGGTTTATGTTTCCTTACATTGATACCACACTTTGATAACCACAGCTATTTAAGCATTGCAATAAATAAAAAAACAACTAGCGAGGCTTGGTGGGGCCAGGCCTGATATAATCACAGTGACTCAGGAGGGCTGAAGTAGGAGAAACTCCAGTGCAAGGCCAGCCTCAGCAACTTAGCAAGGCTCTTAAAAAAGACTGGGGATGCAGCTCAGTGGTAAAGAGCCCCATGGTTCAATGCCCAGCACACATACACAAAAAAAAAGAAAAGAAAAGAAATAGAAACTGCTGAGAGCAACAATATGGATGAGTAATGATGAATAAAAATTAGACACAAATATACAGTGTAAGTTTCCACCTACATGAAGTTCATAAAGAGGCAAAAAAAAAAAAAAAACTTCAGTTATAGAAGTCAGGATGTTGGTTATCCAGAAATATGGAGCTGGTATTGACTGCCAAAGGACTCCTGCCTTCAGGGAATATACACACTGGGCAGTACCCTTACCAATAGCACACTGTCCTGGATATCTATTGCTCCTATTTAGTGACTTCTAAAAACCTGTTCTAAGCAAACTAATTTTAATTATTTTTAGGTTGGAAACTAATCTTAAAAAAAGAACTTTTCATCAAAATCAGCCAGATAATCTTGGTTAAACTTCAATGACCTTAGCGGGAAATCTTTTGAAATCCAAATTTAGAAGAAGACAAACTATAATGTCATTTTGTAACGTGGAAAATGTCAAAAATTCCCTACTAGACGACAGGTGGAATACAGATATGGGGCATCTTGACCCCATTTAAAAATACTGATTCACCTGAATATTCTATTACTGATACCTAAAATCAATAAAGCATACATAGCAAAACATTTTTAAAGGGTTAGAACGTGTACTCAGACTTTCCACACATTAAAGTCTAAGGGACAAACTCATCAAACTGTTGAGCATCAGAATGCTATTTTTACTGTTTATCAATTACACCTCAGTAAAGCCGTTAAAAAAAAAAAAAAAACTGACAAATCGACAGCCTTGAAGCCTCCAAAGAGTGCTATGTGAACTTCCTTTAAAACAGTGGGGGATAAAATAAATTCTCTACACTGGTAAGCGGGAAAACTGGTTAGAAACAGCATATTAAAATCCACCCTCAGACCCGTGAAAAGCAAGTAGCTGGACTGAGGAGGTGTTTTGTCCCTATAAAATACAACACTTCCTTGAAGGCCACGAATTCACACAAAGCTTTCAAAGAGACGCCCTGACAAGGCTGAGCGAGACGGGCCCGATAGAGTGAAGCCACTCCACAGCCCAGGCCAGAGCGGACGCAACTCCTGCGCGTGTAACAGGAGCCTCAAGTCAGCCCCAGTCCACGACTGAGACCCACCTAACCAAAAGGGAAGGCTCCCCAGGCTCTCGGAAGAACAAAGCAGCGCTAACCGAAGAAGCCTCTGAACTGCCACCGCTTGCCAGCGCCCGGTTCCCTACGCGCCCCAGCGATACAGTGCCAAGGCCCAAGTCCAGCCCTTCGGTGCACCTAGGCCCTCTTAAGGACTCGAGCAGCGGACAAGAGCTCCTCCGCTCCTGTCGCCCACGAATTACCGATCAGCGAAGCTTCTTGGGTTCAGTCCACTCGAATTAACGACAGAATCAGCCCGGCATTTACGAAAGAGCCGCCACAATTACCGCGGCGGCCGGGGCCACGCCCCCGGACAGGTCCCGTCCCACCCGACCCGAGGGCTCCTGGGAAGTGTAGTTCCCACCGACCCCTTCGGGCTTTTGTACGGGTATCACTGCACCCACACAAACTACAGCTCCCAGTGACGCCACGCGACAGACGTTGCCTAGGGAATGGACTGCGAGCCGCCTTCCGCTCCGCGGAAGTTTGATTGGGGAGGGGGGCCGGAGCAGAGTGAAAAAGACGTTTCGGAGAAAGACTGCGGAGGTCTGCGCTCTAGCCCAAAGCCTTTGAAAATTAGAGCGAGCACACGCGAGAGCTCCGAATTCCCTGGAAAGCCCAGGAGACCAAAGCTTATCTAGAAACCCACGATTTTTTTTTTAACCTTTGCTTTCCGTTTTGGCAGGATTTGACTTAATGAAGACCCTGTTTAGCCGGGCGTCGGGGCGCATGTGTGTAATCCCAGCAGCGTGGGAGGCTGAGGCAAGAAAATCAATAGTTCAAAGCCACCCTAAGCAGTTTAGCAAGACCTGATTTCTAAATAAAGTATTTAAAGGCGCGGGGTGGGGGGGGGGGACTGGAGATGTGCTCTCCATGGTTGGCCGCCCCTGGGTTCAATCCCCGGGCACCACGCCCCACACACCAAAAAAATAAAACGTTTAAAAAGGATCGGAGCTGAGTGTGGTTGCGCACCCTTGTAAACCCCACAGCTCCGGAGGCAGAGGCAGGAGGATAGCAAGTATGAGACCAGCCTCAGCAATTTAGTGAGTCCCTGTCTCAAAAAAAAAAAAATTAAAAGGGGTTGGGGATGTAACTCAGTGGTAAAGCACACCTGGGTTCAATCCCCAGTACCACTAAATAAATAAAAAGGGGCAAGGGAGGGCCTTGTGTCTGCCACACTATTTCATTAAAAAAAAAAAAATTCCCTGTGAGAATTCACTCCAAAAATAGTCGTTGGCCATCTATTCTTAATGTGGCTAATAGGTAATTTGGCAATGTATGTCAATTAGGTATGAAAACTTTCCTTTGAACCCTAAAAGCACAAAACAAGAGGTATTATATATATTTATTTTTTATTTTTAAAGAGAGAGAATTTTTTATTTATTTTTTAGTTATTGGCGGACACAACATCTTTGTTGGTATGTGGTGCTGAGGTCGAACCGGGCTGCACGCATGCCAGGGGAACATGCCACAGCTTGAGCCACATCCCCAGCCCTTATTTATTTATTTTTATTGCCAACAGAGTGCTTCATGGGTGCAGACAAGACACTTTAGGATAGTACAGCAGGTCAGGTTACCACAGTTTACATACCTGGCTTCGTGTGTAACAGTAGGGCTAGGGCTATAGCTCAGTGGTAGAGTGCTTACCTAGCATGCATGAGGCGCTGGGTTCTATCCTTAGACTTCATAAAAATAAACAAATAAAATAAAGGCATTCTGAATATCTATAACTACAAAAAATAAATTTTAAAAAAATCAAATGAGGTGTTATTTATAAGAATAAATATATGAAACAAAATACCACTGGTTAAAGATAACATTTCAGGGAGCCACCCCAATGGCTCATGCCTGTAATCCCAACTACTCCAAAGGCTGAGGCAGGGCTGCAAGTTAGAGAGCAGCATGGACAATTTACTGAGACCCTGTCTCAAAATAAAAAACTAAGCAGGGTTGGGTTGTAACTCAGTGTTAAGAGTGTCCCTGGTTTCAATACCAGGTATAGTGGAGTGGGAAAGGTCCTTCTTTCCTAAATCAAGATTTCCCTGCTTATCCCTCTGCCCTTCTTCTTCCTTTTATAACCAAAGCCCAAGAATTCCAAGATTACACACTTGTTTCAGATGCTGGATAAGGACCAAAATTATCTTCATCTTCATTTCATTTGAAAGCATACCCCAAAATCATCTTTGTTAAAATATGTATTATTGAGGGCTTGGGTTGTAGCTCAGTAGAGAGCACTTGCCTAGCATGTGTGAGGCACTGGGTTCAATTCTCAGCACCACCTATAAATAAATAAAGGTCCATTGATAACTAAAATGTATTTTTAAAAAAATAGTATCATTGAGGGAGTCACAACATCCTCAACTTTTTGTGCATATTTTACTCATATGTTTATCCTAATATAGTAAGTAGTACCACATTGCTTGTTAATTTGATAAATGAATGTATTCTTTTATCACACTCAAGTCTTAATTGTTAAGGTTCTAATATATGTTACCATCGTATTTAAAATTACCATATATTTTCAAAACTACTAAGCTTGAAGGGTCCTCCAAATCCATGACAGGATGGAAGGGAAAGAAAGGATTTAATTTTTAGTTGTAGTTGGACATGATATCTTTATTTTCTAAATTGCTGATGCTGGCTCTGAATTTGCAATCTTCATGCATCGGAGCCCTGAGGGCATTATCTCTGAATTGTTGAGAGCCCAGGTTGGCCCAGTTACCAGGTGGCTCACACCTGGTAATCCCAGCTACTTTGAAGGTGGAGGCAGGAGGATTGCGTGTCAGAGGCCAGCCTGGACAATTTATTGAGACCCTTTCTTAGAAAAAATAGGAGGAGGGTGCTGTGTATATAGCTCTGTAATAGAGTATTTGCCTAGAATATGTGAGTCTCTGGGCTCAATCTCTAGTACTACAAAAAAAGGAGGAAAAAAAAAAAAGATTCCAGACTTCGAAGATAAGCAATCTTGGGATCAAATTCTAGTTTGACAACTTACAAAGAGCTTTGTAGTCTTCAGGACTTAATCTTTCTGAAACTAGTCTTCTCATTTGCAAAACAGGGATGATAATAAAGTCATCTACTTCATAAAATTGTCATGAAGATTACATTAAAAGTATATATAAAGAGCACACAGTTCTAACTGTTGGCTGTGTGACTTCAGTTGTAGAGGAACTGAATTTGAGTGCCAAAGCCCAGCTGTACAGTTCATGTTAAATGGTGTACAAGATACAGAACATGCCTTATGATAGTACCAAATTAGTTGGTAATAATTTTTTTATTTTTAATTGACACATAGTAATGTGTACATTATGTTAATGTATACATTTACGCAGAGTAATTGGCATATCTGTTATCTGACATTGTCATTTCTCTTTTTTAAAGATTTTTAAAAATGTTTAGTTGTAGATGGACACAATACCTTTCTTTTATATATTTATGTGGTGCTGAGGATCGAACCCAGTGCCTCATGCATGCACGGCAAGTGCTTTACCACTGAGCCACAACCCCAGCCCAGACATTGTCAATTCTTTGTATCAGAACATTTGAAATCCTCTCTACAAGGTGTTCTGAAATATTCAATTAATTATTGTCAATCATAGTTATCCTACTGTGCTACTGAACATTAGCAGTTATCCCTCCCAACCAGATGCACCTCTGTACCTATTAATCAACCTCTCACCACCCATCCCTCCCTCAACTGGACTGGTTGTTAGCACAAAAGGCCCAGGGCCAGATACAAACGTCATGGATCCGTCAAAGTCTTTATTCAGGAACAGAATTACACCTCTGATGAACCCATTCTCCTGATAGAAAATGAACCATCAGCCCAAGGGGGAGTCTATGCTTATATAGTTTACACTGAGAGATGACTTAATTGATGAGCTTGTCAGTTTGGGTACTTTGGAATTTGGGGTCTATTTCATTGGGCAAAATGAGGGAATCTAGGGTCGGTGGTCAGTTTGGGCACTCAAGAAACAGGGATGTGAGGGCCGGAGTTGTGTCTCAATGGTAGAATACTTGCCTAGCATCCATGAGGCACTGAGTTCGATCCCCAGTATCACATAAAAATAAACAAATAAAGGTATTGTGTCCATCTACAATTAAAAAAATATTAAAGGGGCTGGGATTGTGGCTCAGTGGTAGAGCGCTTGCCTAGCACATTCGAGACCTTGGGTTTGATTCTCAGCACCATATAAAATAAATAAATAAAATAAAGATATTGTGTCCAACTACAACTAAAAAATAAATATTAAAAAAAAATATTTAGGGGCTGGGGATGTGGCTCAAGCGGTAGCGCGCTCGCCTGGCATGCGTGCGGCCCGGGTTCGATCCTCGGCACCACATACCAACAAAGATGTTGTGTCCACCGAGAACTAAAAATAAATAAATAAAAATATTAAAAAAAAAAAAAAAAAAAAAAAAAATATTTAAAAAAACAGGGATGTGAGAATTTGAAAATTTGTTTTTATTGGGCCATATTTTTATTTGGAGAAGAATGGAGGGTCTAGGGTCAGTGTTTAGTGTTTATCTCTTTCCCTTCAGGGTCCATTGTACTGTCACTAGGAAAAGATTTATTTGGGGAAGGATCAATCCTTCGGCTCCCCTTCTAGGGATTGTTTTGTTACTGGGAAAGAATGAACTAGAAAAGGATCAATGCCATCAATGTGCTGCTTTCCTCTTCCCTACATCTTCTTCCCAGGCCACACTATTTTGGGGTTTGTCATTTTCCATACCCAACACTGGTATTACCAGCAATTGCTCTACCAAAAGATGACAGAAGTGCAGGCCTGCCCTAGAAATGATCTCCAAACCCAGATCACCCAGGATGGAAAGAGTAACTCCAGCAGTTGGGCGGGAAGCACTGAGAGATGCAAGTATCTAGCTCCTAGGCAAAGTCAAGAAAACCCATATGCCACTTCCCCTGTGAGATGAGAGAGAAGGAGTTTCTCACCAAGGTCCCAAACCTCAGATTTCCAGAATTTTCCATCAGTAAAAAAGTTTCTAACAATGTTGGATGCTAGAAGATGTCCTTTTTGATATTTTTACATTTAAATGCAGATAAAACTCATACATTGAACTTGGACCAAAAAACTATGGAAACCTGTGAGTCTACACAACAAAGGAATTATCATATTCACCACATTCTACAATTTCTAACCCATAATTCAATTACAACAAAGGAGAATTCTGGCATGAATCTGATGTGATAACATAATAACATAATGTTGACGTACGTGGATTTTTAGTTTTTCCTTGAAAATAACAATTTAGGGGTTGGTTTATTTCAT